GCATGTGTCCCTGCTGCATGGACGATATATGATCCATATCAGCTGTCGCTGGACAGCGTGAGGATATCATCAACAAGTGGACTTATGGCTGTGCCAGGCTAGGGGGAGGTGCAAAGCTTTGCCTGCTGCTGCCCAAGGGTGCCAGCCCAATACTGTTCTCCGATAGCGTGCTACCTGGGGGCCAGTAGTCGGGGGCAGCCCTCCAGACCAAGTCGTGCCCATGCCAGCCGTCGGAGGCAGCCCTCGAGACCAAGCTTGTCTGGGAGTAGGCAGTCGGAGGCTTCCCCCCAGACCAGCTCGCCGCCCACTAGCTTGGAGCCATGGCTCCGCCGGCAGTCTGGGCCCGAAACACAACATCAGGACGAGCCCTGGCGACAGGTGGCATAAACACGGAAATGCATACAAACATATATACACATATGTATTTATCCATGTTTCTTCTTATGTGTCTCTCTCTCTCTCTCCCTCTTGCCAGTTTGGAAACGTCACTGCTCTTGCAAAGAAGTTTCTCAGAGGTTCGGGGGGACTTCCGAGCCTTTGAGAAGGCCCGCCACTTCTCGCTTCCCCCCAGGGCGCGCCTCTCTCCCTCCCTCTCCTGCTCCCTTCTCCCTCCTCGCTATCGTATCCTTTACCCTTTTTTTTCCTCCCTCTCCCTCCCCCCACTCCCTCCTTCCCATCCCCCACCCACCCCCCCCCCCCCCCCCCCCCCCCCCCGCCTCCCCTTTTACCCCCCCATGCCTTACCCTGCCTGCTCCCCCCCCCCCCCCCCCCCGCAAGTCTGGAGACGTCCTCGCCAGCAACCTGACGGCCGCCACGGCGCCGCGCCCCCGGAGGACGAGGGGGCTGCGGAGGAGGAGTCATGCCACGAAGAGTGATTGTGCTGATAGCATGGTCACTAACTATATTAGGTCCGCTCGTAGTATTGTCAGGCAGAGATGATGAGTACTATTAGCACGGCTACTGATCCTGAGCATGAGCCTGGTAAGTACAACGCTGGGCGCTGGAAGCACGGATGATGATATTAGTAGTGCGAATGACACAGAGTAGCAGTAGTATGATGAGTTGTATGACTATCAAGAAAGCCATGCTCAAGAAGAGAACTGCTATTTCAACCGAAGTATCAGCACTGAAAATCTGAGTCAGCGGAGGGTGTGTGCTAACTCTCAAGGGTTGCACGCGCGGGAGGCCTCGGCCATGCGAGGCGCCTGGCCGCGCCCTGCTCGCTGTGCGCGGACCCGGCCGTGGCATCGGCACCGCAGCCGCCGCCAGCCGCCGCCAGGATCCGGGGGCGAAGAGCTGCGAGGGCCAGAAGCAGACCAGCCCGGAGCTGCCGAGACCCCTTCCTTCGGGGGCGGCCACGAGGGGGGAGAACAACTACGGGGGGTGGGGGGGGGACATCGTGGCCAGGGAAGAGCTGCGAGAGCCAGAGGCAGACCACCCCGGAGCTGCCGAGACCCCTTTCCTTCGGGGGCGGCCAGGAGGGGGGGAATGACTACGGACGGGGTGGGGGGACGTCGGGGCCAGGGCCACGACGCCTCCCCGAAGTCCAGGGCCCACGCCTCGGGGTTCAGGGCGTCCCCTGGGCCCCCTTCTCCTCCTCCCCCTTCTCCTCCTCCCTCCCTCCTCCCTCCTCCCTCCTCCCCCCCTCCTCCTCCCTCCTCCCCCTTCTCCTCCTCCCCCTTCTTCTCCTCCTCCTCCTTCTCCTCCTCCTCCTCCTCCTCCTCCTCCTCCGCGCCTCGGGCCACGACTTGCGAGGCCCCATCTTGGACGCCCCCCTCCCCGCTCGGACGCCCCCGGCCTTCACGAGACCCTGAGCCACGAGAGCACGACGGGCTCCAGAGAGCCGATGATCCTGGCAGGACTGCCGTGCGCGATGGCGTGGCGTGCCAGGCGAGAACCGTCAGCATCGCCGCGGCGTCTGCCCCCGAGGCGTACTTCACGGCACCAGGACTGGCGGGAACCAGCCGCTTTCCGACGAGGACCAGAAGCGCCACGGCTCCAGCCAGCAGCGCTCCGACTGGGACCACCGCTTCTACTGGGACCAGAAGCGCACCCTCGCGGCTCAGCGATGTTGCCAGGCAAATCAGCAGCGCCACCGCTGGGCCTGGCATCGCTCCAGTTGGAAACAGCAGCGCTTCGGCTTGAACCGGCAGCGCCCCGACCTGTGCCAGCAGCGCTGCAACTGGAACCAGCAGCGCTCTGACTGGGGCCAGCATTTCTTCGGCGGGAACCACGGTGCCACCACACTGACCAGGCCACCCCTGATGCAACCCGAAGGTCCCAGACCCCCGGGTGTGTGCGGATTCCATGAGGTTTCCTCCCTGTTCCAGAATCGCCCCCCGCTGGAAACTGACAGGCCCAACGGCGACTTTGGGTTGGGTTAGGGGAGCGAAGAATGACGTAAACATTAAAACTCGGAGACCCGCGTGGATTTCTGGGATCCGCGCTGGACCCCCCTCCCTGGCGCGCTCCGCGCGCCAGGGGCGGCGCCAGAGGCGCCGCCAGGGGGCCCCAGCGCGGATCCGAGAAATCCGCGCGGACCTCGGAGTTTTTACGTTTATGTCATTCTTCATTCCCCTATGGGTTGGGTTGGGGTGGTTCGTTGGGCAGCAAGAGTGCCAGTGCGGCTCCTGCAGCACGATTTCCAGGAGCGCGCCGCCGCACAGGCGGACCCAGGGGCGCCCCCCGGAGCACGGGCCGCAGGGTGCCCTTGGGGCCCGACCACGGGGGCGCGCCCGGCCTGAACCCCGAAAACATCGCGGCCCAAAGGGCCAAACGGGACTACTACTCAGAGGAGGAAAAGGTACCCATACTTCTACCCTCCCCTCGTTTTCCCCTTTTCGGGCCTCCTCGGAGGCCTCGTCCAGAACGCACCCCAGGAGAGGTCCAGGGAGTAGCGGTATCGGTACCTTTTGGTCTCCCCAATGACCTCGGCCGCTGGCCCAGGGATGACAACCAGCCTCCGCAGTGAGGCGCTCGTACCCCTTCCGACCCTCGTCGCTGTCTCGGATTCCACCGACACGGGCGGGAGCATTTGGATAGCTTGTTGTTCCGGGGCCGCTCGGGGCGCCGTCAGGCGACGGCGGAGGGTCGCAGCCGCGATCCGCCGAGCGGCCTTACATTACCAGCCTGGAACATATCCCTATCCCTATGCTGGGCACCTCCTGATCACGATGCCAATCTTAGGGATTCCCTTTTCTTTTGAGGGCGAAGCCCTACCACGCTGCGGGGCGGCACCGCTATGCACTTCCCGGTCCCCAGGCCTCGTCGGCCCGAGCCTTGCCGAGCCTCCCGCCCTGCGGAGCGGAACGACACACGCCATCCACTGGCAGGGCATGTCGCGTGGCAGGGGCCGCCGCGGCGACACGCTCGGCAAGAGTTCCGAGCCGTGTCATCTGCCGGATGACAGCTGCTTCGACGGGCGAGATGCCAGAGCGACTCTGGCCAGTCCAGGATTGCAGCAACACCGCTGGCACCCGCATTGGTGGTCGCTGCCAACTGCCACTGTGGCGCGATGGTCGACTTGGGCGGTGGCTATGACGACGGGGCCACTCACTCACTCAAGAGCCGCGCCTGGACGGCGCATCGGCGAAAGAAGTTACATGTACATGTCTGTGAGCTGCTACTGTGCCTCGGAGCTATACAACCATCAGGCTTTGTGAAAGTAGGGCGCGAGGGCGAACAGCAACGCTCGCGTGGGAGGGGGTGTGCAGGAGGGAGGGAGGGAGGGGGACGGGGAGGGGGGAGCGGGGGGGAGCACAATAAGATCACTCCGACGGGCGCCAGGAGAGAATCCGAACTTCCGCCAGCGGCTTCCCGGCTGGAGCACTCGGCTCCCTGGCAGGGCAGATGACGACTGGCGCCGCTGGGGCTCCCTGGCAGGGCTGGCGGCATCCCGACAGGGGACCGGCAGCGCTCTCCTTGCCACCGCGACCCGCGCCGCCCCGACGGGGGGCCCCAAGCCCTGCAGCGGAGCGCAGGAGCTCCTCCACGGGGGCCCGAGGCTCTCCGGCGAGGGCCCGCCGCCGCGCCGGCGGCGGCAGGCGGCGCCGCGACGGGGGCCCCGCGGCGCAGCGGCGGGGGCCCGCGGCGCAGCGCCGCCGGGCAGAGCCGCGGCCCCGGGCCGGGGCCAGGAGCCTCGCAGGGGCCGCAGGCAGGGCGGCCCGCGAGGGAGCCGACCGGACGCAAGGGTGACCCTTCGCCGGGGTGGCCTTCTGGTGCGGGCACCGTGGTGCCCCCCCCGATGGCTGGACGCGAAGCGGTAGCAGCGGCGTGCGCGCCTGGGCTTGGCCACCGCGCGTCCGTCCCCCGTCAAACCGGGCACCCAAGGTCACCTCGTGCTTATAGCCGAAGGAGTCGGCCTGGCGCCACCAGTGCAAGCACCGCAACTCGGTCGGTACCATGCACGGTGGCGAGGCGTCCACACGGGAGGCCCGCGTCTTTGGCCAGAGCAACCAGCCACCGGACCAAGGTCCCAAGGTGGCGGGCGTGCGCGCGAGGCTCACTGGTGCTGGTGTTGTCTCACGCGTCGCAGCGGAGGCCTCTTGGGTCCTCTGAGATCCTGCGGGTGCCGCCTGGGTCCTCGCGCGCGTTCGTGGGCCCCCTGCGTAGGAGCTTCCAGTGGTCGGGGAAACCGTGTTCCTGCGATCTTCGTTTTCCTTCATAGCGAATGCGGTAATTCAGGATTCGAACAGAGGTGGAAAAACAAAAGCCCCACAGGGGGGGCAGGGAGCCCGAGGAGACTTTCCGGAGTCGTCCCAGAGTCGCCGTTTCGCATTGGAGTTTTTCACAGTTTAGGACCATAGGGGCCGTTTCGCTGTAGAATTCCTCACGATTTATGGCAGCAGGAGTCGTTTCGCTTAGGACTTCGTGAGACTTTAGGACCACAGAAGCCGTATCGCCGAAGACTTCTGAGAATGTCGGGCCACAGGCGACGTTTGGCTAGATGTTACTTCACGGTCTGTCGTTTGAAACTTCTAAGCGGTATGTCGCCACAGGGGCCGTTTCGCTTGAGACGTCTTTACAATTCATAACCGCAGAAGCCGTTTCGTTCGACATCTTTTAACATCGGATGACAACAGAAGAGTCCAGGGGCCTATGGTAATTGATTCTCACTTCGGGAAGTGCCCCACTGGAATATAACCGTTTGATAATCCCCAATCGTGCCAAAATGCCATTCCTGGGACAGCAGCGCCGCAAATCGACGTGACTTGTTCTATATATCCGTGAAGCTGTTGCCAGCTTTGAAGACGAACGTGCGCGGCGCCATGGCGAGAACAACATAAAAAAAAGGACCCACCCTCCACTCATGAAGCCGTTGCGAACTTTCGAGACGAATGTTCGCGGCGCTAACGCGAGATTAGCATTGTTACCTAACAGCTCTTGCTGATAGGCTTCTAGTGGTCTCAAAAGAGAGCAGCAGATGACTCCACAGGGGGGTCTGGGCGGGACCCGGACAGGCTGCCGCCGCGGCTGCCGCCGCACTCGTTTTTCGCAAACAGTCACACACTTCGTGCTCTTCGACATCCTAGAACTCCACGCCCGGGCCACATTCTGAATGCCCGGAGCCAACTGTAGGCCACTTCGTGCTCTTCGACTTCCCAGAACTCCATTCCCGGGCCACGTTTTGGATGCCCGGAGCCAACTGTAGGCCACTTCGTGCTCTTCGACTTCCCAGAACTCCATTCCCGGGCCACATTTTGAATGCCCCGAGCCAACTGTAGGCCACTTCGTGGTCTTCGATTTCCCAGAACTCCATTCCCCGGCCACATTTTGAATGCCCAGAGCCAACTGTAGGCCACTTCGTGGTCTTCGAGTTCCCAGAATTCCATTCCTGGGCATGATTTTGAATGCCCGGAGCCAACTGTAGGCCACTTCGTGTTCTTCTAGTTCCCAGAATTCCATTCCTGGGCTACATTTTGAATGCTGAGGCAGGCTGAGGCTGAGGCTGAGGCAGGCTGAGGCTGAGGCAGGCTGAGGCTGAGGCCGGGGCTGAAGGCAGACTGAGGCTGAGGCTGAAGCAGGCTGAGGCTGAGGCAGAGGCAGGCTGAGGCTGAGGCTGAGGCAGGCTGATGCTGAGGCAGGCTGAGGCTGAGGCTGAGGATGATGCAGGCTGAGGCTGAGGCAGGCTGAGGCTGAGGCCGAGGCTGAAGGCAGACTGAGGCTGAGGCTGAAGCAGGCTGAGGCTGAGGCTGAGGCAGGCTGAGTCTGAGGCAGGCTGAGGCTGAGGCTGAGGCAGGCTGAGGCTGAGGCTGTGACTGCGACTGCCGTTGCCGCTGCGACTGTCATCGCGAATGCGACTACGACTGCGAGAACAGCAGAATTCTACAACTGGATGTTCATCTGAATCTTAAGGGGAATGCTTTCAGATATGCTTCTACACATCGCTGTTAGGTTGCTTTGCCGGGATAATTTTTAACCACCCGCCTTCATTCGCGGAGCTGATGCAAGTTTCAAGCTTCCGGATCAGCAGTGGTCAGGAAGTCTCAGGCGAAACGCCCGGCCCGCCCTACCCACATGTCCTGGAGCGCGGAAGGGATGAGTTGCTCATAAGGAAAGTGATGGAGGAGGCGGATGAGGCGGAGGAGGAGGAGGAGGAGGAGGAGGAGGAGGAGGAGGAGGAGGAGGAGGAGGAGCTGGGCGATTGTCGCGCTGCACGATGATCAGTCCCTTCCCCCTGCGTGTGCGAAGCGTGCGGTGGTCGCGGGAGGGCTCCCTGTCGGGTTTTATGACGTTGATGCGTGTGAACTTTGGGCCTTTTACATGGGCCTCAAGCAGGCCTTGCCGAGTGCGTCCTTTTGGACCGATTCCAGCTTCGTTTTCCATGGCGTTTGGGAGCGTGGGAGGCTTTTTTGCTGCTCTGGCTCCTCGGTGTGGGCTGATGTCTGGAGACTTGTTTGGCACGCCATTGACGACCGTGGCGGGCTAGACAACCTGCGCCTTCACAAGGTGAAGGCACACACCACGAGGTCCGAGCTTGCCCAGGGTCACGTCTCCCCTCGTGCTCGGATGGGCAATGATCTGGCGGATCAGTATGCTAAGCAAGCTGCCGAATACACCAGAGTGTCAGAGCTGTATCGGCAGCAGTTCAAGAATCAGTTCAAAGTTGTGCACACTCTCACTAGATGGGTCGGTCTGTGCGGACCGCCCATGGCAGACCTTGACTGTCTGCACGTGCCCCCGTCAAAGAGAGTGGCCAAGCCGAAGTCTGATGTTCCAGTTTTGCAAGTAATTCCTCCCCCGCCTGCGGTCACGTCGGTTGAGAGTCGAGCCGATGTTGCGATCGCTGTGCTGCAGAGGGAGGGTCACCCCACGCACCGTGCCTTCCCCTTCACTTCGCGTTGGCGGGTGGGAGGCGGGGTGTTGTTTGCTCTAACAGTGGAGCTGGCGGGCTGGCGATCTCGAGACAGTTCCGCGAGTCTTGCCCTCCTGTCCCGTCTGTTTGGGGAAGGAGAGTCCTTCGCGGTCTCGAGGCAGGCAGATATTGCCACGGCAAGGAGTGGGTTCTGCTGCTCGAGGCTTGGAGGCCCGTCGAGTGCGAGCGAGTCGGGCAGGGCGTGGACCCTGCCCGAGCCCTAGGCGAGCACCCTGTCGCTGGCCCTTTCGGTTGGATGTCGCCCCCAACCGAGGGTGACAAAAAGGTCGTTCTGATGGGTGCTCGCCAGGGTTTTCTTTCAGTTTCCCTTGTCGGGCGGAGGTGGGGTCACTCATCGGTCCGCCTGCTGCGTGCGCAGGAGGAGGAGGAGGAGGAGGAGGAGGAGGAGGAGGAGGAGGAGGAGGAGGAGGATGAGGAAAGAGGCTTACGCGGATCTTCTATGCTAGTATATTCGTGGCGGACTCTCGGGGCCATCCCTCTCAGCCCCTCCCTCTCCGCGTCGCGCTTCGGCTGTCGTCTGTCGTCGTCGTCGTCGTCGTCCGTCGCCCGTCGCCGTCGTCGTCGTCGTCGTCGTCGTCGTCGTCGTCGTCGTCGTCGCCGTCGTTCGTGATCCGTCGTCCGTCGGCCGTCGTCGTCCGTCATCCGTCGTCCGTCGTTCGCCGTCCGTCGTCAGCCGTCCGTCGTTCGTCGTCTGTCGTCGTCGTCGTGGCCGTCGCCGCAGCCGCCGCCGCCGCAGCCGCTGCCCACCGCCGCAGCAGCCGCCGCTTCCGCCGCAGCCTCCGCCGCCGCCGCCGCCGCCGCCGCAGTCGCCGTCGTCGTCGTCGTCGTCGTCGTCGTCGTCGTCGTCGTCGTCGTCCGTCGTCCGTCGTCCGTCGTCCGTCGTCCGTCGTCAGTCGTCGTCCGTGGTCCGTCTGTCCGTCTGTCCGTCGTCCGTCGTCGTCCGTCGTCCGTTGTCCGTCGTCCGTCGTCAGTCGTCGTCCGTGGTCCGTCTGTCCGTCTGTCCGTCGTCCGTCGTCGTCCGTCGTCCGTCTGTCCGTCGTCCGTCGTCCGTCGTCCGTCGTCCGTCGTCCGTCGTCGTCGTCGTCGTCGTCGTCGTCGTCGTCGTCGTCGTCGCCGTCGCCGCTTCCGCCGCCGCCGCCGCCGCCGCAGTTGCCGCCGCTTCCGCCGCAACCGCCGCAGAATCCAACGCAGCCGCCGCCGCCGCCGCCGCCGCCACCGTCGTCGTCGTCGTCGTCAGTCGTCTTGTCGTCGTCCGTCGTCCGTCGTCCGTCGTCGTCGCCGTCGGCATCCGTCGTCCATCGTCGTCAGTCGTCCGTCTTCGTCCGTCGTCCGTCTGTCCGTCGTCCGTCGTCCGTCGTCCGTCGTCCGTCGTTTGTCGTCCGTCGTCCGTCGTCCGTCTGTCCGATGTCCGTCGTCCGTCGTCCGTTGTCTTCGTCCGTCGTCGTCCGTCCGTTTCGTCCGTTCGTACCGTCGTCCGTCGTCGTCGTGTCGCGTCGTCGTCGTTCGTCGTCGATCGTCGTCGTATTCGTCGTCGTCGTCGTCGTCGCCGCCGCCGCCGCCGCCGCCGCCGCCGCCCGCAGTGCGCCGCTTCCGTCGCAGCCGCCGCCGCCGCGCCGCCGCGCCGCCGCCGCGCCGGCCGCCGCATGCAGTCGCCCTCTCCTAGTTCGTTCGTGTCGTCGTCGTCTGTTCTGTAGTCGTGTCGTCGTCGTCGTCATCGTCGTCGTCGTCGTTCGCGTCGTCGTCGTCGTCGTCGTCTTCGTCGTCGTCGGTCGTAGTCTTGTCGTCGCCGTCGTTTCGTCGTCGTCCGTAGTCGTAGTACGTCTTCCGTCGTCCGTCGTCGTCGTCTTCGTTTCGTCCGCGTCCGTCTTCCCGTCGTCGTCGTTGTCCGTGTCCGTCTGTCCGTGGTCGTCGCCGTTCGCCCGTCGTCCGTCGTCCTTCGTCCCCGTCGTCCGTCGTCGACGTCGTCGTCGTCGTCGTCTCCGTGTCGTCGTCCGTCGTCCGTTGCTTCCGTCGTCGTGCGTCCGTCGTCTGTCGTTTCCGTTCGTCGTTCGTCTCGTCGTCGTTCGTCGTCTTCGTCGTCGTCGTCGTCGTCGTCGTCGTCGTCGTCGTCGTCGTCGTCGTCGTCGCCGCCGCCGCCGCCGCCGCCGCCGCCGCCGCCGCCGCCGCAGTTGCCGCCGCTTCTGCCACAGCCGCCGCCACCGCCGCCGCAGCCGCCGCTTCCGCCGCAGCCGCCTTCGCCGCAACCGCCGCCGCAGTCGCCGCCGCTTCCGCCGCAACCGCCGCCGCCGCCGCTTCCGCCGCAGCCGCCGCCGCCGCCGCCGCCGCCGCCGCCGCGTCGTCGTCGTCGTCGTCGTCGTCGTCGTCGTCGTCGTCGTCGTCGTCGTCGTCGTCGTCGTCGTCGTCAGTCGTCTTGTCGTCCGTCCGTCGTCTGTCGTCCGTCGTCCGTCGTCCGTCGTCCGTCGTCCGTCGTCCGTCGTCCGTCGTCCGTCGTCCGTCGTCCGTCGTCCGTCGTCGTCGTCCGTCGTCGTCGTCCGTCGTCCGTCGTCCGTCGTCCGTCGTCCGTCGTCCGTCGTCGTCGTCGTCGTCGTCGTGTCGTCGTCGTCGTCGTCGTCGTCGTCCGTCGTCGTCGTCGCGTCGTCGTCGTCGTCGTCGTGTCGTCGTCGTCGTCGCCGCGCCGCCGCCGCCGCCGCCGCCGCCCGCCGCCGCGCCGCCGCTTCCGCCGCCGCACTTGCCGCCGCTTCTGCCGGCGCGCCGCCGCCGCCGCCGCCGCAGTTCGCCGCTTCCGCCGCAGCCGCCGCCGCCGCAGCCGCCGCCGCAGCCGCCGCCGTTTCCGCCGCAGACGCCGTTGCTTCCGCCGCAGCCGCCGCTTCTGCCACAGCCCCCGCCGCCGCCGCCGCCGCCGCCGCCGCCGCCGCCGCGTCGTCGTCGTCGTCGGTCGTCGGTCGTCGTCGGTCGTCGTCGTCGTCGTGTCGTCCGTCGTCGTCTTCGTCGTCGGTCAGTCGTCTTGTCGTCGTCGTCGTCCGTCGTCCGTCGTCCGTCGTCCGTCGTCGTCGTCGTCGTCGTCGTCATCCGTCGTCCGTCGTCCGTCGTCGTCCGTCGTCCGTCGCCCGTCTGTCCGTCGTCCGTCTGTCCGTCTGTCCGTCGTCCGTCGTCCGTCGTCCGTCGTCCGTCGTCCGTCGTCCGTCATCCGTCTGTCCGTCTGTCCGTCGTCCGTCGTCCGTCGCCCGTCGTCCGTCGTCCGTCGTCGTCGTCGTCGTCGCCGTCGCCGTCGCCGTCGCCGCCGCCGCCGCCGCCGCCGCCGTCGCCGCCACCGCCGCAGTTCGCCGCTTCCGCCGCAGCCGCCGCTGCCGCCGGTGCCGCCTTCGCCGTCGCCGTCGTCGTCGTCAGTCGTCTTGCCGTCGTCTTGCCGTCGTCTTGTGGTCGTCTTGTCGTCGTTGTCGTCGTCGTCGTCGTCGTCGTCGTCGTCCGTCGTCTTGTCGTCGTCGTCGTCGTCGTCGTCGTCGTCGTCGTCGTCGTCGTCAGTCGTCTTGTCGTCGTCGTCGTCGTCGTCGTCGTCGTCGTCGTCGTCGTCGTCCGTCGTCTTGTCGTTGTCATCGTCCGTCGTCCGTCGTCTTCCGAAAGGTGCAGGCGCACGCCGCGCTTGCTCACGCGGTGTCGGCGCTGGCGGAGCAGCAGGCGCGCAGGAGGCCCACCGCGAGCGTGGTGGGCGATGAGGGCTGGGGAGGCGGGGGAGGCGTCGAGGCAGCGCGAAGGAGGAGGAGGAGGAGGAGGAGGAGGCGGAGGAGGAGGAGGAGGAGGAGGAGGAGGAGGAGGAGGAGGAGGTGGAGCGGAAGGCCGAGGTGGAGGAGTTCAGTTCAGTTCACTTAGCTTCTGGAAATCTGGTTATTCGTCACGCGAGTGTCATGCATTTCAGGTTTTCCGAGTGTCGCCCTCAAAGACTTTCATGGAACCGGAGCTGCCTCGAGCCTGAGTGGCGCCTGGTGCGGGGTCCTGGTGGCCCCCCGCCTCAAGAGGCGTCATAGTCTTCTATTTATCCGTAAGGTCTTCGCCCCATGCCGCCGGCCCCCTGTCTCGGATAATGGGAGATGCAAAAGCTAAATGATGAGGTCTGGGCGCCGCCGTGAAGCAGTGTTGGGACCTGTTTGTTTTTCGACCCTGACCTTACGGATCTGCGTGAGGGGTGCCGCCGAATTTCAGAAATGTGGCAAATCCCCTGTGTTTTTGGACCCTGACCCTACGGATCTGCGTGAGGGGTGCCGCCGGATTTCAGAAATGTGGCAAATCCATTTTGTTTTTGGACCCTGACCCTGCCGATCTTTGTGAGGGGTGTGAGCAAATTTCGGAAATGTGGCAAATCCCATGTGTTTTTGCATCCTGACCCTGCCGATCTGCGTGAGGGGTGCCACCGAATTTCAGACATGTGGCAAATTCTTTATGTTTTTGGACCCTGACCCCGCCGATCTGCGTGAGGGGTGTCTCCGAATGTAGAAATGTGGCAAATCTTTTTGTTTTTGGACCCTGACCCTACGGATCTGCGTGAGGGGTGCCGCCGAATTTTTAGAAATGTAGCAAATCCCTGGTGTTTTTGGACCCTGACCCTGTGATTTCCCTCCCTACCCCCTTCGCCCTTCTTTTTCCCGTCCTCCCTTCCCTACCCTCCCTTACCGCGCAACGCCCCGCAGCGATCCTGAATCAGCGGCGTCCCGCGACGCGCGCACGCGGACGTGCGCTGCTAGCGCCGCTGCCCATGCGCCGTTGTGTAGCTGTTCCAGAGGGGGGAAGTAGGAAGAGGACCGTGTACTTAAGGGAAGTGAGAGGGAGGGGACGGCGTTGAGCGGCGGGCCCACTCACCTTGTAGCAAATCATGGGAGCCTGGTATACCCTCTTAATTCTGTCTTCAGCGTCGTTTAGCGTCTGGGAGTCGATGAGATGACGCCGATTTAGCGTCGGTTGGCGTCGATCAGCGTCGATTTAGCATCAATTAGCGTCGACCAGTGTCGATTCGCGTCCATTCGCAAGAGCCGACAAGCTGGTTTGGGAGGCCCCCACGAGTTGCCACTGGACCGGCGAGGGATTATCCTCCCCTCCCCATCCCTCTCCTTCCTCCCCCTCCGTCCCCCCACCCCCCCCCCCCCCCCCCCCGTCGCCCCCTCGCCCCCCCCTCTCCCCCCCATCCCTCTCCTTCCCCCCCTCCCTCCCCATCCCTCTCCTTCCTCCCCCCCCTCCGTCGCCCGAGGCAGGAGGCCGGCCTGCGTATCTGCTGCCCCCTGGCCGGGCCCCCCCTGGGCCGCGGAGCGGTCCGTGTGTGCAGGCCTCCGCGGCCAGGCCCGGAGGGGGGGTCCACGCCGCTCCGGGGCCCGGGGTGGGCCTGGCCAGGAGCAGAGGAGGAGGAGGAGGAGGAGGAGGAGGAGGAGGAGGAGGAGGAGGAGGAGGAGGAGGAGGAGGATCTCGTCGCCCTGTGCTTATCCTCCCTTCCTCCTCCTTCTCTAGGGGGCCGAGACATCCACACCACCACCTCCCCCAACCCCTCCCTCTCCCAGGAAGGAGAGGAGTAGGAGGGTAGAGGAGGGATGAGGAATCGACGCGGTAGTGGTGTATGTTCTTTGGGCCCGCATTCTCCTTCTTCCCTCCCCCGTCGCCCGAGACAGAGGGCCGACCCCGAGCCCGCCGCCGAGGGCGCGGATGCGGATAGGTTCGACGCTCGTGATCTCCCTCCCTCCCCTCTCACGCTGCTCTTGTTTTGCCTCCTCCCTGTCCCTCCCTCCCCACGCCCTCCTCCCTGTCTCTGATCCTCCTCCCTGCCCCACCCCCCCACCGTCGCACGAGGCAGGAGGCCGACCCCGAGCCCACCGCCGGGGCCGCGAACGCGACCGCCTCCTCGGGCGAGCCCCCCGCGTCGCCCGAGGAGCCCCGCGCGTCGGCCGCCGCCCGCCCGCTCCCTTCCGCCCCCCCTGGCGGGGGCGAGCTCTGCGACGATGCTCTTTTGTTGTTTTCCCAGCCCTCGCGTGTCCAGGCCTTTTGCCACGCCACACGCTCGGGGAGCGTTCTGACTCCTGAGCCGCCCGCCCTATCCTTATTGCGAAGGCCTTACGGCCAGTGCCGCCGACCCTTGAGGCCTCAGCCCTCGACGGAAATGGGAGGGACAGGGCGGGCCAGGAGGGTGGTATTCTGACCTTGGACCATCCCCCGGGACCCACCCCTGGGACCCCCCCTGGGACTCCCCCCTGGGATCCCCCCTTCCCCCTCCCCGTGGAAGGGATCAAAGGAAGGGGCTCCCCTTCGACTCGCTCCCCTTCGACTCAATGACAACGTTGCTTCATTTCGCTGTGGATGGGCTGGTGTACGTAATTCGCTTTGGCTGGCGAGCTTGAGGACGAGGGCCCAAGAGAAGGGGGGGGTGCGGCGACGGATTCAGGAGAATGAGGGGACATGATGGCGGCGGCGACGCGACGGCGGTAGCGACGGCGATGGCGACGGAACAGCCCTTGTCACGCGCCGACAGGGTCGGCGGATTTTCCTTTGGCCGCGTCCCTCCTCCCTCCTCCTGCATGTTGGCACAATTCGGCCCAACGGTACCCCCGTTCATGCCATTCATCGCCAGCACAGTCACCCTTTGCCTAGCCGCCGACGGAAAAAGTGTCTAGGCCTTCTAGATGGGGTCGGAGTAGATGGGGTCGAAGGATCGCGCCGCATCGCGGGTGCATCGGCGATGCGGCTCGTGGTGGAGCCCGGCTTGCTCCACGTCGACGTCGCCGATGCACCGCCGATGTCGACTTTGCATCGTCGGTGCATCGCCGATACATCGGCGATGTATGGGTGATGCGGCGCGATCCTCCGACCCCATCTACTCCGACCCCATCTAGGAGGCCTCTAGTGTTGGGGCTTCGCCACCCCTCGGCGGCGAGCGAGGGGGGGGAAGTGTGAAGGGGAAGGCCTGCGGAGAGGGCGGCGGGGCTTCTCGGGACCCTTCGCGCGCCTTCTGAGAGGTTTCCAGTGCCTTCGGGGAAGGCCTCGGAAACTTCTGAGAAGACCCGGGGGGCGTCCGAGCCTTCCCAGGAGGCCCGCTCCGTCGTACTCCCCCCCATCGAGCTCGCCGCCGAGCCTCCGCGTGCCGCCCCTCGCTCCCCCCTCGGCCCCCTTCTCCTCTTTCCCTTCGCGTCCCCGCGCTGAGTGGCCCAGTCGAGGCCGCATGGGCGGGCCCCTGGTCCAGGAGGAGGAGGGAGGAGGAGGAGGAGGAGGAGGAGGAGGAGGAGGAGGAGGAGGAGGAGGAGGAGGAGGAGGAGGAGGAGGAGGAGGAGGAGGAGGAGGAGGAGGAGGAGGAGGAGGGAGGAGGAGGAGGAGGGAGGAGGAGGAGGAGGAGGAGGAGGAGGAGGAGGAGGAGGAGGAGGAGGAGGAGGAGGAGGAGGAGGAGGAGGAGGAGGAGGAGGAGGCCCCGCCGCGTGAGCTGGCTCGGCCGAGGCGCCCATTCCCACTCGACTGTCCGCGCCGCGCCGCCGCGCGCGAGTGGCCGCAACGCCGAACCGGGTCCTCGTTTGGAGTCCGCGGCGCCGCGCGCCTCCGTCCTTGCTTGCTTGCTTCCTTCCTTCCTTCCTTCCTTCCTCCTTCCTCGCCCTCCTCATCCTCCCCCTCCTGCTCCTGCTCCTCCTCGTTCACCTCCTCCTACTCCTTCTCATGCCCCTCTTCCGGGAGTTCTTCCTCGACTTCGGCCTCTGGGGCCCGTTGTCAGCCAGGAGCATCAAAGTGGATCTGGGGCGAAAAAACTGGCCCTGGGGAAGGGGTCGGGACCTCTGGGGCCGCGCATTGAAAACATCGTGTCGCAGTCGGGGGGGGGCGGCGGAGAGGCGCTGGGGGGAGGGGCTCCAAACACTAGTGGGATGGGATCGGGTGTGGCCAAGGTGGCCGTTGCTTGCCTACGTTCTCTCAGCTCGCTCTCGCGAGCTGCGTCGCTCGTCGAGTCACGCGTGCTTCGCTCGTCCGATTGCTCTTGCCCTTCCTTCCCCGTCCTCGGCGCTCCCGGACGTATAGATGAGACCCCCCTCTCAGATGGCCTCCAGAGCACTCCTCTCACGAGCGGGTGCTCCAAGTCGTCGGCGAGCGAGGGGGTAAATGAGAAGGAGAAAGCATTCTCAGAAGGCGGCGGGACTTCTCAGAAGCCCTCGTGCCTTCCGAGAACGTTTCTATGTCTTCGGGGAAGGCTCAGAAAACTTCCCAGAAGGCCAGTGGACTTCCGAGCCTTCTGAGAAGGCCCGCCCCTTCGCCTCCCCCCCCCCTCGCTCGCCGCCGACCAAAACGGCGCGAAGAGCTGGGGCAACCCTGGGAGGCAGGACAGCCTTCTGCGCCCCTCCTCTGACAGCCTGGGCGGCACTGGAGGGCGCGTGGGGGAGGCGCCGGAAGGCCACTGGCCACCCAACCACTCCAACACAGCCCGGAGGCCCCAGGCCGCGCAAGCTGCCCTCCATTCCCCGTGGGGGGGCGCCCCAGCACATCAAAAACAAGAATCACAGGAGGAGCCCGTGCGCCCCCCAATCCGAAGTTTGGGGACTTCGGGTCGGGTTTGGGTGGTCTGGTAGGTACTGCGGGACAGGGGCACCCGACGCTGTCGAGGAGCACGAGACGGGGGTCAGCGCTGACGGGGGTCATCGGGTCTCCTGAGGCTGACTGGGTCCCCCCTCCCTCCTCCTCCCTCCTATTAGTGAATGCCTCACGGCCGGTGCCGCCGGCCCTGGAGGCGGGACCTTCCCTGGGACCCCGGGGTCCCCTCCCGGGGCCGGGGCCGGGGCCGGGACCAGGGCCGAGGCCGGGGCCGGGATAGGGGCCAGGGCCAGACCCCCCGCCCCCACAGTGTGAACCTCTTCCCCGTGCCCCCCGTCCACAGGTGGGCCCGCGCCTCAGGACCCGCTGGGACCCTCGGGGAGCGGCAGCCTGACCCGGGACCCTCCCTGGCCCTGGCCTAGCCCTACCCCCTACCCTTTCCCTCCCCTCCCCCCCCCTCTCCCCCCCCCTCACCTCCCCGTCAGGGAAGGGAGAAAGGGGAGCGAAATCGACTGCACTACGACGTCTTGCTTTTTTTGTTGGTTTTGTTCGTTCCTCAATTTTCTTGGGACTGGCGACGACGACGACGAAGACGACGAAGACGACGAGAGCGTCTCGTACACGCAGAATGGTCGGCGGATTCGCCCCTCGAGGAAATATCGTTGATCGGGGATCGAGAACCAAGGACCGAGAATCCATCGAGGGTCGATCGAGGACCCAGGTTTTGGGGGTCGCGTGGGCCCATCTCCTCCGCAGGCCTGGGTATGGGAGCTGCTGTGCGGCTGGTGGGGTTTCGCGACATGGCCTCGGCTTGGGTTCAATTTTTTCTTGTAAACGCACCGCCGCTCCGAACTCGTTTAGGCACACCCAACACGTGTATGCCCAACGCGACCACATCCAAATGGACAACTTTCAGCTCGTTCAGGCATGCTCAGGAGCATGCCAACGTGCACTTCGTACGCACGTTCAGCGACAACACACGCACGCCTCACGTACGCAGGCCTAGTTTGGCTTCCCAGAGTCTCGAAATGACCCAACTGAGCGCTAGCCTTGGCTGTTCCGGGGTAGCGCTGACCTGGGTGAACTCTGGGCCCTCTAGGCCTCCTGGATGGGGTCCGAGTAGATGGGGTCGGAGGATCACGCCGCATCGCCGATGCATCGGCGATGCGGCTCGATGCGGAGCCGATTTCCTCCACGCCGGCGGCGCCGATGCACCGCCGACGTCGCAGGGGCATCGCCAGTGCATCGCCGATGCATCGCCGATGCATCGGGGATTCGGCGCGATCCTCCGGCCCCATCTACTCGGACCCCATCCAGGAGGCCTCTGTTGACGCGTCCCCTGACACTGGTGGGGGCGGGAGCGGGCGCCATTTGGGGGGAAGGGTGCTGGGCACTGGCCGGTGGCGTTCACAACAGGGGGTGGCGCGAGGAGGGCGGCCATCGGAGAGTGCGGGGGACAGCATCCGAGGAGGCAAAATTGGTGGGTTTCGTAAGAGGGGCTCGGAGGCTCCTGATAGGTCCGCAGTGATGCGGGGTCTTGCGAGCTCATCTGCGAGGTCCGCGTCGGCACCGCGTCGGGATCGCGTCAATGCATTGCCTGTCGAGGAAAGTGCCCGCCAGATGCAGCGTGGCCCGCATAGTGTTTGCGCGCGTGCTCCGCATGATATTCCCTGTGCCGGGGCCAGATGCGGTCCGGCCCGGCTGCAGGTCGAAAGTAACATTAATGCTATCAGGATTGGATGGGTAGGGAGAGCACTGGGCACTGGAGGGAACGGGAGCGGGAGGGGACCAACAGGGAGGAGGATAAGGAGAAGGGAGAAGGACATGGGAAAGGGGGGGAGAGGGGTGGGAGGGGTGGGGGAGGTGGGGAAGAGGGGGGAAAGGGAGGATGTTGGCGTGGGACCGCATTGGATCAAGATGGGGAGGGTAAGGGATGGGACTGGAGAGGGGAGGAACAGGGCGAGGGTAGGAACATAGAGAAAGGATGGGAGGTAACGTCACGTTGTGCCCGATCGGCACAGGGGCCGTGTCCTGCCATCGGCTACAGGATAGAGCAGCTCGCAACGGTGCAGCGATATCGTAAGGGAAGGGGAGGGAGAGGGGAGGGTAGGAAAATTAAGAGGAGGAATATCGAGGTAAAGAGAGAAGGACATATTGAGAAGGAGAGGAACAATGCGAGGGAATGGTGAGGGAGTGAATGGGGGAAGGGGGAATGCTCAGGGTGGCAAAATTTCTCCTGCGCTTGCCGCCTCCTTTCCAGTGCGGCCATGCAAACTCGGTACGCTCCAAGGTCGACGTGGGGTCGTCTGGGAAAGTGCGCCACTGGAGGACCCTGTAATTGAAAAGGGGGGGTGAGATTTTCGACCCCCCCCCCT